TGGGGATTTAACTCAGTGGTTCTGCCGCCCGCCTTGCAAGTACAAGGTTCTGAGTTTGATCCCCAGTACCAAAAAAAAGGGGGGGGGAGGAAGGGAAAAAGGAATGAAATGAATCCTAGTAAGACTCTTACTATCTTCTGAGGACAGGGAATTCTAAGCCCCAAATGCCACTCTTACATAAGACTAAGAGAAAACCTACGTAAAATGTAAATTAGGTAGCTAATTTCCACAGTGAAAAGCATAAGTGGCAATGTAGAACGCATTTGAGGCTACAGAACAAATGATTATCATACCAAGTGCCCATGCTATTTAATAGTTCTAATCAACAATTAACTGCTAAGAAAGGTAGGCCTGCTGTACCTAAGAGCTCATGAAGACAAGATGGCTAATAATGAACATCCGCCTTCCTTCTGAGAACCTGGGATTCCAGTATACACAGGTAGCACAGGCTACCTACGACGTCCAGAACAGCAATGAGTCTTCAGTGTGGACAACTGCTAGGGCTGCCTGGCAGAAATGCTGCAGTTACACTGCTGGGGAAAGAGTGCATTCTGTGATCTGTTGTGGGAAGAGAGTATGAGAAAGCCTGCGCCTAGAATCCATCTGTGTTTACTCTTTCTGTGGGCCAATTATACCTGAGACTCATGAGTACAACTATATGTGGAATGCTGTTCTCTGGGCCTCCTAGAGAATCTAAACATGGGGGTGCTCTTGGGGACCCTAAACACACTGTGAGTGAAAAATGGCTATTACACTTTTAAAATGGTTGAAAAGGAAAGCAAAGGAAGAATTTTGTGACAGACGAAAAGTAAATGAAATGCAAATTTTGGTGTCCATAGTTTTACTAAAATAGCATGTTTGTATACATGTATCTGTGGCTACTTTTGAGTTACAATGGCAGAACTGATTACAGACCATACATGCCAGAATGCCTGAAATACCTGTTAGCAGGTCCATTACTGGAAAGTCTGTCAATCCCTGTTTGAGAGAATATAAAGGATCCCAATGGAAGAGCAGCATTCAAACACCTGAGTAACTCACAAAGAGCCTACAGCTGGTCAGGCATGGCCCCAAGTGTAGAACATGGTGAGACTGAATAGGGTGCCTGCCTCATGAAGTTTATACTCCAACAAGAAGGGGCACAGGAAGTAAAAAAAGCACATCTTATGTTTGAAAAGTGCTATACACACCATGAAAGTAAAGTAACTTGTTCGACAAGGGTTGGGTGGGTGGACCCTTCAGAGCAAGTAAAGAAGAAGAGTTTTCTGGAAAGGTGACATTTCAGCTGGTAAATGACCAGCAGGAAGGGGAGCATCCAGTTTGGGCAAAGCAGCCAGACCAAGGGGCTCCAGCAGGGCGGGCTCAGAGCTGGAAGAGGCCACTGTGAAGGGGAGAGGGCTGAGGGAAGGGAGCACTCTCACAGCAGCGCGGTGCAGTGACACCAACAGCCAGGACCTGAGTATGGACTCTGCCACTTGACAGCAGAATACTGAGAAAAGGCCAGGGATTTAGCTCAGTGGTTCTGACGCCTGCCTCGCAAGCACAAGGTCCCGAGTTCGATCTCCAGTACCAAAAAAAAA